ATACAATACACAATTTTTTCACTCTTATTTTTGTTCAATTGGTCACATACAAGAACTGAACTAAAAATGTGTGCAAAGAAATGCCTCTATTTGAAGGGGAAAAAACTCAAAAGACCTACAAAAAGCTTGGAAAACCTTTGTTAGTCCTAAACTTGACATAAAAAAGGCTGGTCCGGCAGCAAAATACTACATGAAGAAATGAGCAATAGTTTTAAACTTTTCCTCTTTTTTTATTTTTTTATTTTATTTATTTTTTACATTTCCTCAATAGTTATACGTTCCATCCTGCAGATAAATATTTATTTGCAGTATTCTCCTTGGGTCAGGTGGCGCAAAGTTCCAATAGCTGCAGTGCAGAGCTTGATCTGTGACCCTGAGTATGGGAGACAGGCATTCTCTGCTTTTACTTCAGGAAGAAGTGACCACGTTGTTCTCTGCCAAAAATTTTCACAGCCATAGCCATAAAATGATCAGGAAGAAACCAGAGGAAACTTGCATGTTTGAGTTACTTTATAAAATAGCTGTAGACTTTCAAGACTGCTCACTTTAAAATGCCAACCACGTCAGAAGTTTATTGAGCAGAAAAACTTTAAATAGGGTTACTTTGCATTGCCAGGCTTCAACATTAAGAAAAAAAATTGAACAACTTGGTTGTGTTGCAGATCAGCAACAAATGAAAATTTCTACAGGAGAAACCCCCCCCCCCCCCCCCCACACACACACACACACACACAAAATAAATAAATAAAAAGGATTACAGTCTGCATTAGAGCCAAAGTTCACATCTCATGAACTGGTGTTCTACGGAGACATTATGAACAGTAAATATCTTACCTGTTGCACATTTGAAAAACCTTAATTCGTAAGAAACTGTTAACAGTTAGTCTAAGCAAAGTAAAGTAAACTCTTCTCATCTTTACACTGCTCAGTTTCATCCATCCATCCATCCATCCATCCTGTTCGTCTGGTCTTTTCATTAGATTGAAGTCACTCAGAGAGCTACCCACAGCAGGTAAAAGTCAAGTAAGCATTCATAACCTTTTACAGAGCCCTGCAACGGTAGCTGTTGGGCTCCAACTTTACAGCATTTTACCATCTAAAGCCCTCTGTCTGTGTTTAGTAGCAGCATCCTGTGTCTGTTTCGTATGAAATAATCACAGGCATCCTGCGGTGAACTTTCTCTTTTGGTGTAATTATTGTATGGTTTCTTCCAACTGTGTGTGTGTGTGTGTGTGTGGGAGCCAGATGCTTGTTACGCTCTCCACAAAGAAGCACTCTGTTTGTACCGAGCTGAGGCTTCGCGCCGAAGCACAGCAGTTACACGAACAAAAGTTGACATTTTCTAATTTGAAAATTACATCTCATTACACAATATGGTTAATTGGCTACAGGATTGGAAGTAATTTGGGAATTCACAGCGGAMTTTATATTACAGGCCGTAAAAAAAAAGGTGTGCTCATTGACACCATATGTGCTGAGAGTACAGCTCTGCCTATGTCTGTGATGGTTTAGTCGAATTCTTGATTTAAAGCCATTTACCAGGGAGTTTTTGTCAGGGGAAAACATTGGATGTATCTGAAGTTCCCGCTTGTTTATGTTGCTGTACGTAGTCGGAGCCTTTGTGATGAAGAGTTAAATGTTTTCATAATTTTACATCAAAGACAAAAAAAAGGAGGAACGCAAAGATGGAGATGTTGAGAAAAATAAACAGGAGAAAGAAGAGCGCAGTATAAGTCGGACAGTGTTTGGTTGTTGGCCGACTTTCTGGCTGGTTGGCAGGGAAGTTTGTCTGTTCTAAGGACTCTGTGGTTTCAGTGCAGATGAACAGTAATTTACCAGGCGGCTCTGGATGTTCACTGTTCTGCAGGCATCAGACCTGAAGAACAAGACTGACACACTCAGCTCAGAAGGTTGAGACATGAAAAAGGAATCAGAAGCATAAAATCCTCCACAACCTGATCCTCAACTAGTTTTTTCAAGTCTGGACGAAAAACGTCTTGCTGCTGTGAGAAAGAAACCCACACATACCATTGCACACAAGTAGATCCAAGTAACAAAACAGTCTTGGGATGCACAAAAACAGTCATTTAACCCTAAAATTAGCTCACTATAAACACACCATTAGTACACAGTATGTACCTACCACCCTTCATGGCACTTCATCTTGTGTTACTCAATCTTTGAACACAACACTATCCATGGTGTCACGCATTATTACAAGATCTTGCAAAATTTGTTAGCGCGCAGAGGTTTTCAACCATGGGGTTGCAACGCATAGTGGGTCTGTGAAGGATCACTGGGGCTTGTGAGATTTTATCCTAATTAGCCTGTCTTTTCATACATTTTATTAATTTCAAAGTAATGTCTCAGTATCAAATGCACAGTAATAAGGCATGTTTTGTGTAGTGCTAAGCCTAATTTATTATAAAAGACCATATATAAACAGCACAAAAAGTAAGGAAATTTGTGTTTGGGATATTATATCTTTGTTGGAACAATGCTTCTTGGTAATAAATCTTATACCATTGGAACGCCTGTTAAATTCCCTTTTAAATAGTGCCGCATTTGTAAGGATCATGTATGAGTATGTGTGTGCTTATTTTGCTATTAACTTGTTTGGTGTTTGGTAGACTGGATGATTGAAGTTTGAAGAAATAAGGTATTGGCAATTTAGCAATTTATTCATTTAACAAACCGAAGCGTGTGGAAGAACCATACACAGCCACAAAAGCCTGGCACCTCCTCCTCATGCTGCTCACTAGCCGGGTCAGACACTGCTGTGGGATGGCATCCCATTCTTCACCCAGCGTTTCATGTCAACTGTTGTGGTTGTGTTGGTCACTCTGGCACAAACGGCACTCTCAAGCTCAGTGGGGTTGAGGTCAGGACTGCTCACAGGCCATTCCCTCTTCTCCATTCCCAAATAAGTCATGCTCTATGAGGTCAAGTGTTGTCATCTTGGAGGATAGCGTTCGGTTTCTGATGACTCAAATGTCTCTGACATCCCCCATTATATGCAACTTGGCCTTCAATTTGTAGATAGTACTAGTGCTCACTGCTGCAACTTGGTTTTGTGGAACACCAGCTTGTAGTTGCCCTGTAGCATGGGCCCTATCCAGATCAGTCAAACATGGCAGGCAGTTACTGACCAATGTAGCAGGGCCCATACTCTCAGGTGTTTCCAATCAGGTGCCTGATTGGCAACACCTATGAATACCAGAAGGTCAAATATCAATAGCAACAACAAAATTTGATGTTTGGCAGAGATGATGTAGCAAATTGTTCTTATGCRCAACCCACATAATCAGCTCTACTGCTCATCCCACAAATGCATGTTCCTCATAAATGTAACACTATTTAAAAGAGAGATTAACAGACATATATATGTAGGTTGTCGTTGCTCTATCTCTCCGTTAGTTTTGCACCCCAGATTTAAGCTCATGCAAGAACCGTTCGTATGCACAGATTTGTTCTTAAGTTGTGCGTACGATTGATTTAGGAGAATTTGTGGCATTCACCAATGTTTTCGTATTCTAAGATTTTTTTCAGAAACGAACAAAATTTACGAGTGGTCCAGACCTGTCGTTTATTTTACGAGCAGTCAGTCTGCTGTTATCCAGATGGATTTTCTTCATTAATAACTTTATATTTCGTTAGTTTGAAGATAATTTGAGTTGAAAATAAATCACACTCCATAATTATGTTGACAATAAGCTATTCTGCTTGAATTAGAGTTATAATTTTAAATGTAATAATTTAGACTAGCAATATAAATTGTCCGTTCATCCGTTTTCCGCCGCTTATCCGGGATCAGGTCTCGGTGGTAGCAGCAGAGACCCCCTCTCCCCATGCAGCGACACCTTCCAGCTCATCCTGGGGGACTCAAGACGTTCCCAGGCCAGAGGGGATATATGATCAAGTCCAGGATTTTCTCCAAAGTGCCAGACTTATTTTGAAAACATTTTAAAATGCTTATTTCAGACCCGCATCTGAGACCACCTGCGCCGCGCAGTTCGCTGGGGGGGGGGTTACGGTGCGCAGCGCTGTGTCTTCTGAATAAATGAAAATGATTTAACACAGATATTTATACTTTTAGCAGCTCTTTTTATCCCACAACTGACCTGCTAAAAATGACAGATTTTTTTTTCTGGATCTCTGACAGACGGACTTCAATCTCTGAACKCGTAAAGTTTTTATTTTTTCAGTTTTCGCTGTCATTTT